CCTTCAAGTTAGCATAGAGTTTAGGGGAGATGGATTTATCAGATAGTTTTAGTTTAAGTGCTATAATATAGGAATTAATATGGAAGAATTGAATGCAGATAGTGATTTCTAAATAAGATGTTTCAGGGGGAAATTTGAAGGTAAATAGGAAGGATTAAGAGTTAACCAGATAGGGCACCTGGGTGGCTCAGTTGGTTAAGCGACTGCCTTCGGCTCTGGTCGTGATCCTGGAGTCCTGGGATCGAGTCCCGCATCGGGCTCTCTGCTCGGCAGGGAGTCTGCTTCTCCCTCTGACCCTCCTCCCTCTCATGCTCTCTGTCTCAAATAAATAAATAAAATCTTTAAAAAAAAAAAAAAAGAGTTAACCAGATAATGGAGCGCCAGGGTCGCTCAGTCGTTAAGCGTCTGCCTTCGGCTCAGGTCACGATCCCAGGGTCCTAGGATCGAGCCCCACATTGGGCTCCCTGCTTGGCGGGAAGCCTGCTTTTCCCTCTCCCTCTCCCCCTGCTTGTGTTCCTGCTCTCGCTCTCCCGCTCTCTCTGTCAAATAAATACATAAAATCTTAAAAAAAAAAAAGTTAACCAGATAAGGATTTGGGTGGGGTGGGTGGGATGAGATGGGGTGAGGGTTATTAGAGGGAGAGGGTGGTGAAGATCACCGCATTCTAGGCAGAAGAGCATCATGAACAAAGTAATGGAAACGTGTAATAGCATAGTGTATGTATGAAAACTACAAACAACCTTGCAGTATTAAAGCATTCTTTGAAGGCTAGTTAATATACACCAGGCTTAATGTGCATGATCACACTTAAACCAGACAACATTCTTTTGAGGCCTATAATCACATATCCTTATTCTGTCTACCTCCATGATTCTACTCTGATGGCATGATCTTAGCAGTATATGTCATTAAAAATTGAGTGGAGGCTCATTACAGTGTAGAAATATCACTGGAAGGAGAGTTAACGCTCTACCTAGAGACTGCCAAAGGTGGCACTACCATACTCTTAGGCCTGGCTGTGAGGTGTACAGATACAGACACTCAATCTTGTTGGCATTTCAGAGTTGATTCTACTTGGGGGATGCAGATTCATGCTAACCACATTTGTAGGAGACTATAATTTAGCCAGAATGTTTTGAGGCTGTAGAAACCTAGCCTAGCATATGTGAGCAGTGCTTAGGGGTTTTGATGGAAACAAACACTATGAGTCAGCAGAATGATACGCTGGCCAATAAGGTCATAAAATCAGAGGCTGAATTAATAGAGGTAATGTATTTCAAGATGACGGAGGTGGCAGTCCTTTCCTTCCTTGCATTTATCAAACCACAGCGTATTTGAGAGAAATAAATATGGACACTAAGCCATGTCAAATGAAAATAAGTTGAAGCAGGTAGGTATTCTTTAGCCTGAAAGAGAGAATGATGCCTTCAAATAATAGCCTGAAAGAGAATGATGCCTTCAAATAACATAATGGTTCTTGAGTTTATTAACCTCATATAGTCTGATTACCATCTCTCTTAGTTTAGACTCTTATCACTAGTTGCTTAAATTACTTCAGTAGCCCAAATTATTGAACATAAGGGAATCCGTTCTGGCTAGTTAGAGATACTAGGTAGTTCTTGAAGATACTAAGTAGCTCTTGAATTGGGAGAGTTGCAGAAACAGGCCTCAGATAATATCACAGGAATAACTTCCAGAACCACACAACTGAAATTTGGTCCAATGTAGGAGCTGTTGCCATCCCAGAACCACTTGGTCGAACTGTCATAATGAAAAACATGCAGAGGCTGCCATCAGTTGCGTAACCATATCTCCTGTATTGCCGCCCATGCCAGCAGAATGGATCGCTTACTTGTGGTCTGCTTCTTTACATCGTTCATTTCTGAATCAACACATCCTATAAATGCATTAAGCCTTATGTCTGTACTCTAGTTATAAGGGAGTCTGACAAATGTATTTTTTATGGATTTTTCCTTGGTTAGGTGGGACTGACATTGTGAGGATGTATTAAAATGTAGAGAGCATGTTTAAATGCTGTTGAGCAGCCAAATATGACAGAAGACATGATGGTTTCCTTGCTAGTCTCCTTGACCTGACTAAGATTTTTCTCTTCCTTTAAGACCCAAATCCTGGTAAAGACTTCTCTGATCTTTCCATCTATCCTCTGTGTTCCCAAAGCATCATATACATGCTTCTGTTACGATTGTTTGCTTATATGTTTTGCTATATATATGCATATATAGACCATGAATTATTTATTTTTATTTATTTAACAAAGATAGCATATACTAAGTATCAGGCGTTGTTCTAAGTGCTTCATAAAGAATTCATTTAACTTGTGGGTACAAGCTCTCTTTCAATTTGCATCCCCCTAGCCAGCCTAGCATACTCCTTGGTGCATGGCACATGTCCAGTAAATAAGTGATTCGATATTTAGGAAGTAGGGAAGAAAAAATAATGACATAGTCTTGCCACTTTAACTCGCTATTATATTTTGTTGCACATTTAGTCTTCCAAAGAAAAATTTGGGAAAAATTAAACTTCCCTAATATGGGATGGGCTGCCTGTGAGATAGTAGGTTTTCTGTTAGTCAACTCCAAGCATAGATGAGCATCTGTGGACTACATTAAAAGTGCTATCCAGCCTTGTTTCTCTGATTCTGCTTTGACTCAACAATGTTAGATCTAGCCTATGAGAGAGAGAGGGGAAAAAAGATGTCTTCTGTCTTCAAGACAGAAGGCGATATTCAAATGAGAATTAAGGAATAAAATAGGAAAGATAGGGGTAGAGACCTTGACGGAGGTGGTTAGTAAGGAGGATCCTTTGTATATATAAACAAAATTTATAGGTATTGACTGTGAACAAATCAGAGGAGTCACTGCAATTCATGCAAATATAGATCAAGAGATTCTTGCTGTCAATGAAGTTAGTATTCTATAGATAGATGCAGCTTGATTTCTTTTCATGGATCCTTTTCCCCCCTCACATTCTTACAGATGAGTCTTTAAAATAATGTTGATATTTTTTTGCTCATTACTTTCCTTGATTAAAAAAAAATAGTAATGGCCAGAATTAAGAGAATAAAAGGATAAAAATACTGATTTTTAAAAAATTGAAATACAGCTCACATACCATAAAATTCACTGTCAAAATATGCACTTCAGTGTGTTTTTTAGTATATTCAAAGAGATATGAAACTATCACAACAATCAACTTTAGAACATTTTTATCACTTCAATAAAGCACCATACCTATCAGCAGTCACACCCTAATCCTCCCATTCCCCCTCCCCTGCCCCTGGCAACCACTAATCTATTTTCTGTCTCTATATTCCAATTCTGGGCATTTAGTATAAATGGAATCATAATATGTGGTCTTTTGTGACTGGTTTCTTTCACTTAGCATAATGTGGTTTCAAGTTTCATTCATGCTATAGTATTTATCAGTACTTCATTCTTCTTTATGACTGAATATTCCATTGTCTGGACATACCATATTTGTTTAGGTATTCATCATTTGATGAACATTTGGATTGTTTCCTCTCTTTGATGCTACTGCTATGAACATTCATGTACAAATTTTTGTGTGGACATATGTCTTCATTATTTTAATTATAAGCTGGGTCATGTGACAACTTTCTGTGTAACTTTCTGAGGAACTGCTAGACTATTTTCCGAAGTGGTTGCATCATTTCACATTCTCACCAATGTGTGAAGGTTCTAGTTTCTCCATATCCTCACCAATATTTGTTATTACCATTTTTTTTTTTTTTTTGTATCCTAGCCATTCTAGTGGGAGTGAGGTGGTATCTCATTTGTGGTTTTGATTTTCATTTCTCTAATGAATAATGATGTTGAACATTATGTGCTTACCAGCCATTTGTATATCTTCTTTAGAGAAATATCTATTCAAATCCTTTGCCCATTTGTTTTTGGGTTGTCTTTTCATTGTTGATTTGTGAGAGTTCTTTATATATTCTGGATTCAAGTCCCTTATCAGACATGATTTGGAAACATTTTAACCCATTCTGTAAGTTGTCCTTTCATTTGATGTTGCTTTTTTTTAAAGATTTATTTGAGAAAGAGAGCATATGAATGGGGGGAGGAACAGAGGGAGAGAGAATCTCAAGCACACTCCCTGCTGAGCACAGAGCCTGATGCAGGGCTTGATCTCATAACCCTGAGATCATGACTGAAGCTGAAATCAAGGTTGTATGCTCAGTGACTGAGCCACCCAGGTGCCCCTGATGTTGCTTTTTGAATCATAGTCATTTCCAACTTGGTTTTGTGACCCCTCATGAGTGTCCTAAAATGTTGTAAGGGTTAATATGAGTTTAAAAGTGAAGAAAAACAATTTTTCTAGTGAAAATGTTATATGTGTGTGTATCACATAATAAAGATTCCCAGCCAAATCAAAGCTTATTGAACCTTAAAACAATGTATTCTTACAACTGAGTATTTTTTCCTCCAATGAGTAATTTTTGTCATCCCAGCACAGCTGATTATATTTCTGGTATTTTTTTTGCTTTCCAAATCCAGCAACTTCTCAAGAATTTTTCTTCAGTGACATATTATAGATATATATTTCCTGTTAGTTTAAAAATCATATTTGTTCTTCTAGATAATAGTGATCCTAAGGGAGAATATGCGAAATAGTAAAGTGTTTGTTTATTTTTGCTATCAGGGTAAATTAATATCTGTGCTAAGGTTATCTGATGTATGCTGCAAAACTGCCAGTTTATTCTTTGGAATAGTTTAAAATTTTTTCTTTCTGCTCATTAGTTGACTCTGTAGAGATACGAACCATGAATATATGGTAAAATTTATACAGTGTTATGGTATCTGGAGTGAAAAATAATAGTGAAGGATCCACCAGAATGATCATTGTTGTTAGTCACAGCATGACTTACTATTTTAAAAGAGAATATTAGTATTTATTAATCACTTTTGAAAGTCAAGCAGAAATTTGTAAATGCTCACAACAGATGTTCTTTCTAACAGGAGGACATGAACCTTAATGAAGAACGAAAAGCTCCTTTACGAAACAAAGATTTTACCACCAAGCGTGAGATGGTTGTCCAGTATATTTCTGCTACTGCCAAATCTGTAAGTAGTGACACTTTCCCTACACTACCATAATGAGTTCAGCATTATCTGTGCAAAAATACTAGACAGGAGCTTTAACCAGCTAAGCCACGGAGCCAAGTACATCTGCGCAAAAATAAACCTCAGATCTTCAAGTTCTTGCCTCACTGTTCTCATATAGCCTATTCAGAAAAAAATTTATATGTGTATTTTTACACATTAGTATGTACTTAAAACTGCTTATAATTAGACTTTCATTATTTTAAACAATACAGACTAAGTATAGAAGGCTCTGAGTTAATCCAGTGAGTTTTGGGGCAGTGGTTTTGTGCATGTCCTAAATTGTAGATATTCCACTAAATATACTGTTTGTTGTATGAAACTTTTGAATTTTGAGGGAGAAGACACAAACATAGGCTAGTCACAAGTTTAGTTTCTATTGAAGCTTTATGTTTAGTTTCTCTTGCATGAAATTTTTAGCAATATTTTTAATATGCTGTTTTAGTTTTTTTTCCCATTGTTTTATGTGATGCTAACTATATAAATTACCTCATAATTATTATTGTACAGCTTAATTTAGTATAAAAGAGGATACTTAATAGAAGGAGCTTTAATGAAATCTGTGTGAATTTCAAAAGACTTGAAAGTAGAGTTCTGTGGAAAGACTTTTCTTCAGCAGGAAAAACTAGTGTTTTAATGGGATATATGGCTTTGTTCACTTCCTAAGGTGCTTCCAAAAATAGACTTCAGGTTTGATTTCTTTTTGCAAGAAAAAAATGTATTTTTAAAATGATGAAATGTATCTTTTACATTTCTCTAAGGAAAAAGCTTTATACAACTAGACTTCATAAAATCACTATGTATATATATTATGTGTGTGTAGACACATATACCACATATTTTTTATATATATGTGTGTGTATATATATAAATATACACACACACACACAAATACATTGATTTTATGTGTGTGGTATGTATATTATGTATGTGTATATAAATAATACACATGCATTTACATGTAAAAAATCCATATTTTAAATTTAAAAAGTTAACCAGTAAAGAAAATAGTTCCTCTTTGGAAAATATGTTCTAAAATTATTTGGCTATCCTATTACTGATATTTTTTATTTTGCCCTGAATTCTACAATTGTATTGATTCCATATTATAGTTTAAGCAAGCTAAATCTGAATGCTGAACTATTTAAACATAATGCATTCCAGCTCTGCCAGAGCAGAGCAACGGCATGTTTTTTAATTTGCTTCTGGTATCCAAGGGCAGAAATATGTTTCAAGTGATAAGTGAAATTTGCCATGAGCGTTGTTTTCAATAGAATTTGGTGATGCAGAGGGTTTTACTTTGAAATTGTGATGAATCTCTTCTCATTTTTGCACTCAAGTTATTGTTCACAGTAAAATGCTTTAGGAAATTCAGAGTGTACATTTAGTGTTATTTTTCAAATACCTAAAGGCAAATACACTAGTAAATCTATATAACTAAATCTGAATGCAAAGTACAGATAATATATGAATAATCATGTGTTTTTAATGATAAGATTTTGTTAGTGTTTCTGGCTCATTTATTGTTTTTGTTTATGTAAGTGGGACTGAATATAATGAAGATTATACAAAGCTCTTATTCTATAACCTTTTTATTTTTACTCCATGTAGAACTTGTTTTTATTCTCATATTGTTTCCTCTTCAACTGACCAAAGACATATACATTTAGGTTATATACTCATTTTTCACATTAAAGTGCTAAAATTTGGGTAAATGTTGGAGGATCTCTCTTGAATTGCTTTATTTGAAAGATGGAAATTGAATGTTTCTCAAAAGACATGACAATTCTGTTTCAGGCATTAGCCTCAAAATCAATACTGTAACTATTTAGTATGTGACCCTTATTTGTTTCATTCAGCGTACATATGAGCACCTGACTTGCATATAGCTCTTTCATTAGATTTTCAAGAGTATACATTTTATTTCCTAATATTTTTGCATGGACCAAATGTTACAATGAAAGAAAGCCTGTTGATAAACATGTTTTAAAGCTTTCTTACCTTGGGGAGACATTAATTAGTACTGTGTTTTCTGTTGATAAAACCAAGAAAATTGCTTATGTACTTATGAGGGTGAGAGGGATGCCATTTAATGACAGACAATCCTCTTATCTTTGACCTCTTCATGATCAATAATATTTGCATAAACTGTAGGTTAACATATGGCTGTTTACCTATGTGTAACCAAGGTTTCCATCCTGCTGTCTTTCAGTAGGCTTTAGACATGTTGTATATCTTCTACTTTTTAGGCTTACTTTTTCATTATATTGATACACTGATTAAAAATGTTTCTTTGTTGGGGCACTTGGGTGGCTCAGTCAGTTAAGTGGTCAAGTGTCTGACTCTTGGTTTTGGCTCAGGTCATGATCTCAGGGTCGTGAGATTGAGCCTGGCATCCAGCTTCACACTCAGTGTGGAGTCCGCTTGAGATTCTCTCTCTCCCTCTGCCCCTCCTCCCACTGGCTCGTGCATGTACTCTCTCTCTTTAAAATAAATAAATCTTAAAAAAAGTTTCTTCATTTAAAGTAGATATGATTGTAATCACTTCTTTGTGAAAATACTTTATAAGTAGTCAAAACTTTAATCTTGAAGTAAAAACAAAGTTAAGGGCTAGTGTTCCTGATGGAGAATGTTTTATAGTCACATATAAAACATGTGAGAATTATAGTTAAATTTAAACGTAAATTGTACATTTCCCTCTTTAACACCTGCATAAGTCATTTTGCATAGAATTGAAAAACAAACAAAATATGAACTCAGTAGGAAATGTCCATCATTCTCCTGGGTTCCTGGGTAAAAACAATAAAGCAAGATGAAACTAATATACAGGTATTTGCTCAAAACCTGATTCTAAAGCAAACAAGCCTTTTTTAATGTACTTTGCTAAAACAAGCATGGAATAAAAATATATAGGAAACTGAAAGATAATGAAAACTGTTGCTTAGTTTTTTCTTGTTAAAGTTCCATAACAGAGAATATTAAATTGTATGAATGTTAAAGGAAAAAGCTTGAATAACTCTGTCAGTGATGAATGAATTTTAAATAAGGGAATGGAGAAGAACCTCTTCTCTGCACAAGCTGGACTCATTCGCTCATTATAGCAAGTGTGGTTATGGACCTGACCTATAGTAGTTGGTACATGTTGATAATTTGGCCACAAATAATCTGGAAGAATTTATATTTTCAAAACACCAGCATATATTTTCAGAAATGGAAAACCAAGCTTTGTTAATATTGCTAACATTGTCATACCCATTCATAAACCTGAAAGAGGCACAATATATCAGTGATTTAGGGAGTCTTGTATGTTCTATCTTAACAGCCTATATAGACATTCATGAGGAAAAATTAGTCACTGAAATCCTAACATTAGTTTGCCAAAAGCCAATGTCTTTATTAGAATTTTAAGAAACTAGTTTATTTCTAACTTAAGTCACAATCTTTGAAGTTGAGATTTTAAAATATGTAAAGTTACATTTTTAAGACACATGACATATTGATAGGTATCATTGATTAAAAAAACTCAATAGGAAGTAATTTAAAGTAGTGATACCAAATACATGTATAAAATTTTTAGATTGACAAGCAGTTGAAAGTTACAGTTAATCTCTTTGTGTGTGTATATATGTATTACAGTTTTGCTTTTGCCATTAGCAGATATTTTCTTTCTCAGGTGAAACAATTGAAGTCAAACATGACCAGACCTGTTTCTTTTAGCTTCCCTTGGCCAAATCTCATCTGTTCACTGTATGTGCTTTAGCTAAATGGAATCATTTTGCAATCATAATGAATTACTAATGGGCTATATTCTGGTTGTTTCACTGAGTATAGACCTGCCTTAATTAAGACAGGCTTGCATTCTTGTTTTAGTCTCATGTCTGTGCTAAATAAACAAGGGACAAATAAGACCTCTTTTTGGTTGGGAAATAATTTAGGTCAATAGCCTATCTTTCAATTCAGGAGACTGTTAATGGCACCAAAGAGGCTTTTACTCAACTAAATAATCACTGCCTGTAAATAGTCTGTTGAATGAATATTTAAGAACGCTGCTTCTCTATTTGGAGAGTCATGGATTCCTCTGAAATAATTTGCTTGGCAACTGTCAGTATCTTTTTGTGTCTTGTGGTATCCTGTTCAATTTAGGATTCTTCTGGGATTTCAGTATTTTATTTTTCTTTTTAAAGTACCAGCTGGAAAAAAAAAGTACTAGCTTGAAAATAGAACACATATTGATAATAACTGCTGTCAGATAAATGGTTTTAGATTATGGATTAGTTCTTTTTTGGGCATTGCTTTATATTTAAGTGTAGGAATCTGATAACGATTTGATTTATAATTGGGTTTTGGCATAAAATTATGTTAGGACTGTGATTTCACTTCTTGCTTTCTTAAACACAATTCAACTTCTCAGAAATTCTATTATCTCTTATCTATTAGGAAAGCTCAAAGTTTCAGGTTTTGAACTGTTTCCTCCCTATGAATATCTGCATGTTTACATATAACTGCTTCTTTGTCTTCATGTCATATTATCTGATCTCATAATACAAATGCTAGGATGACCTAGAAAAGTAGAATCACAAGCAATCTATCTTCTTTGTAATTTTCAAGTATAATATAAAACAATATTAAAAACCTTAAAATCATAATATAAAATATTCCAGTTTTCAACCTGCAGGTCATAATGCATGACTTTGAATGCAACATTTATATTCTAAAATGCCTTATTTCATTCTTAATATTATATCTGTTATAATGAGGAAAGAAGAACATTGAAAAAAAATTCAGTTTTCTATTGCTAATTTTTTTGAGTGGCTTTGGGCTGGTAAAATATCTGATGCCTGGTTACACTTAATTTTATATTACTTGAGATTTAGATTATATTATATAAGCCCATTACAGTACATTTAAAAACAACCCCTCAAACAGTTAATACTCTTTTATTTGGGAATCCTTATCCTGCAGACTTTACATGTTTTTGAAATATGGTAGAAATTAATACTGGTATATTTAGCCTCTAGATCTAAAGTATTAAAAGTATACATAGGGTTAGCTATTTACTAATTTACTAAACACTTAACTTCTGTGAAAAGCTTCTGATTACTAATACTGTTGCTGTTTTTTTTTTTTTTTACACCATAACCACTCTCCGTTGACCACTGCATGCAGATAGTTGGAAGTAAAGTTATGGTGAGTACAAAAGATGTGTTTTACCCTTAGATATGAATTTTTGCTTTTGGGAATTGAGCGATTTTTGCTTATAGTATTTTGTATGTTTGGTTTTTCTTTTGGAGTATATTTTACCAAAGTAGTGAGATGATTAAGATCAGGTGATGAGAATTTAGCTATGGTAAGTATTTTTCCTGTTGGTTTTGGGAATGTTTTAGAACTGAAATATGCTTGTATATTTTATTTATTTATTTATTTTTAAAGATTTTATTTATTTATTTGATAGAGAGCACACAAGCGGTGGGAGCGGCAGGCAGAGGGAGAGGGCTAAGCAGAATCTCTGCTGAGCAGGGAGCCTGATGCGGGGCTCGATCCCAGGACCCTGGGATCATCACCTGAGCCGAAGGCAGATGCTTAACGACTGAGCCAGCCAGGCACCCCGTATACTTGTTTTAGAAAGTTTACTTATTTTTTTAGAGTTGTACCTATGTTTATGATTTTATGATTCAGTTTTTGTGATTCTGATGAAATTGGGTGTATTACCTCAGTGCCTTAAGATGGCAGGGAGAGACTCCTAATAGGTTGGTTTATGCTAGCAGGAATACTTATTAATGCATCTCACTTTGATTTTAGTATCACTGAGCACATAGTATAATGAAAACAACCTTTGATGTGCAGTCAAGAGGCCTAGGTTTTTTGTCTTTGTTAGCTGCTACTAATTGGCTGTGTGATTTTGAGCAAGTCATGTAGTTTCTTTGAGGTTTAGTTATTAAATGGATAAATTGAAGTTATTGGTATACATTATTTTTAAAGGTTCTTTCTATTGCTGTCTTTTAGAGATTTTTTTTAAAAGATTATTTATTTTAGAGAGAGAGAGCGCGTTAGTGGAAGGAGGGGCAGAGGGAGAGGGAAAGAGAGAAACCTAAGCAGACTCTGTGCTCAGCAGAGTCCAACCAGGCTCAATCCCAGGCCCTGAGATCATGACCTGAGGCCTATATTGTAATTGAGAGGTACTTATAAAATACCTTTTCTTCATGACTAAGCAGTCTGTATTTAGAGAACAGGGCAGAAAACATTATCTTTAACATTATCAAGTACCATAGTATTCAGAATAGTGAATGTGTTTAATATTTGTTTTGATTTTAAAAGTTGAGTTAGTACCTTTTTTTCTTCTTTTTTAATTTATGTGACATCCGGGGCAAAAAGCCATTAATCTTTTGGGATAATTTCAAACATTAGCAAATATTTCTTTAGTGCTTATTATGTGCCAAGAACTGTGTTAGCTTCATTGATGACTGGAAAATAAGGATAAGGTCTTACAGTTTTACTAAGATATGTGGAAAGAATCAATCCTTAAATTGTGCATGCTGATTGGAAGTGTTGTAGGGATTCATAAGCGGGAGAGAGAAGTAGGGGTAGAGTAATTAGAGGAAACTCCATGGAAATTTCTGGACTTAAGCTGGACTTTTAAGAATCCTTAGTTTTGATGGCTGGGATTTGATAAGGGAGATGAGACAACAAAGAAGCTCTCAGATTGTGAAAATATTTGATGCAAAGACCTAGAGAAAGAACCAAGCTGTGTGGGTAGGGAGCAGAGAAAAGGCAAGCAAGAAATGAAATTTGACTTTGTTGGAACAAAGAATGTATATTGGAAAGCTTGAAAAATCAAGTTGAAAGAGGATCTTGGAAGTCCAGGTAGAAGATTAGAAGTTAGTTTGAACAAGGAAGTGACATGAGGAAAGCAGGGTTTAAGAAAAATAAATTTGATAGTAGTAGGTAGGCTGGATTAGGCCAATGGTTCTCAAATTAGAAGGTGTATAAAAGCGAGTTTTGTCCCTCATGGGGTCTAGGATAGGGCCAAGAACTCTGCATATTTATCAAGCACTATAGGAGATCCTCTTAAGGTAGGCTGAAGAGCAAGCATACTTTGCGAAATACTGGATTAGGATGGAGAGAGATTTGTTTCCAGGGCTACCTGGGAGAATTTTGTGTGAATCAGTGAGGACCTATATTAAACTGGGGCTAGATGTAGGAGGGTGGGGTTAAATAGAGTTTTGGGCTATTAAGGAATTTTGAGCTTATTTTAATGTGGGCTGAAGCTAGCCTGGTCTCTGCATGGTTTATGCCAGAGCTGGTTTAATATTACTGATTTCTTCATATCCAGTGGAGTTGAAGTTCTGTTGATTATTTCTCTTAGAGAACTCTGAACTCTCTCCCCTAATTACTCATACTGTTGCTTCCTTAGTTGGGACTCATGTTAAACATACCTGTAATTGCCATAGCCTCCTAAGTAGTCTTCTGGTATTCACTTTCTCACCCTGGCCATGCATGTTCTACACTGTTACACAGATCATGCTGATTCCCCCACTTAAAACTTTCAAATGGCTTCCTATTGCCCTTTGTGATCTTATCCCTGTTCCTTTTTCTAATTTCATCTCCACCTCCATTCTTATATGTGCCTGTCCTCTATTTGTACAAGAACACTTGGCAATTCCTTAACATCCTACTCTTTAATACCCCTAAATCAAGCATATTCTATTTCTTTGAGCTAGAATGCCCTTTTCTTCTTTAGGGTGCCTAGAAAGCTCTTAAATATCCATCAAGATTAAGCTTCATTTCAGTCTTAGGAGAATTTATCTTAGATAACTCCTTCCTTACCATAGCATCACTATACAGCTGTATTACAATATTGAACATATTATATTATAATAAATCATTTACATGTCTTTCTTCCCCAGTGAACTAGCTCATTTACTCAAAATACTAGGTCTGATGGAAAAGAGAGGTAAACATTGGCCTTATAGGTACAATGTAGTAAAGGGTTGCAAAGTGGCAGGCCAACAGGCTCTATATGGTTCATGGAAAAGTTTCATCTTGTCTGAGAGTGTTTTTGAAAGACAGTATGTAATTAGATAGATATTTATGATTGATCTTCAATATAAACTATTTTATACTCATGTCTTATCTATGAACTGCTTCTCACATTGGAATTTGTATCACATCCATATCCTGCAATAAAGGGAGGAAACTATGGGAATCAGTTTCTAGAAGAAATGATGAAGGATTAGTTCTAGAGTTTAGATGGGGTGGGTGCCTTAGGGGGGGAGATTTTTCTTTGTTGTTTTTTTGAGACTAGAGAGGAGTGAGAAAACAATCATTAAAATCACTCTGGTGGAAAGTCAGGTACAAAGGGGCTTATTTCTCATGGTCTCATTAGTCTTCAGAAGATGAGAAGTATGTATTCATTGAGAAAATTGGCAGATAAGGATTTCATAAAAGTGTTCCAGAAAGAATACATTGTAGAAATAACCACTTTAAGTGTTATGGTTGCCTAGAGATTATATATGTTGGTCAAAAAATAAGTCATATAAAAACCGGATTGAAATTAGAAAGATGGAATATGTAATGAATTATGTCTGCATGACCCTGTCTTTTCTTTTGCCTCTCTAATGTTGATTAGAAGCAAAAATGGGGGCATTTGAAGCCTTACTGTCAGCCTTACTTTTCATTATTCTCCTTTATAAATTTGCTTTAAAAATCAGACTGGAAAACTGCCTGTTGTTACCTGAACATAACCACCCCCTCAGCCTCATGCAGTCTTTCTTCTGACTTTCTGACTTTGCTCATCCTGGATCTCTTTTTTGCATAGAATGTTTTTTTTCTTTTTGTCAACATTCTGCCCATCCTCCACAGCCCTCCCTGAAGCCTGTCCTGATTGCTACCCCTAAGTCATCCCCTTCAATTTCTACCTAGTAATTTATATGAACTTCTGTAGCACTTTATTTTTAACTCTCTTAAGGAATCACTTTCTGCTTTATCTTATACTTTGTATTACATGTTACATGTTACAGGATAATAATACTAAAATCAGGATGATATTGAAGTTTATGTTTATATTTAATGCATTTAATGTGCAAAGAGGCTTGCAAGTAGTAGGTCTAAATTACACTTTTTGCTAAATGTATTCAGTTTTATAAAATGCTTGGTATGAAGAACATAAAAACACTATGAGCGCCTCTTTTTTTTGGTAAGTATTCAAGATGTGTGCTATTTGATAGGATTTATTCTGGATCGAGAATTTGAGAAAGATTCAGTTAGATGGAAAGAGGAGAATGCTTTGCTGTTTATTGGAAGCTACGTGTTACATAGTATAGATTATTGATGGGCTTTTAGAAAAAAATAAACTCATATGTGATCTCAATATAATATTGACAAGATTATTTTAAAGATTTTATAAAATAGTTGAAGGTATGTTATAGATACAATCTATGAAGGGAAATGATAAAATATATTCCTGTAGGTATCTTAAAACAGCAAAAGAGAATTGGAATAGGGTAGGGATAGAAAGAACTGAATGAATTCTTCAGTCATCTGGTTCCAAATAAGTGTACAACTTTTTGAACCAAAATAAATTGTTTTTATTATTTATTAGCACATTGCATAAAACAGATTTAGAAAACAGCTAAAATGATTGATTTCATTGCAAGCCAGGAACAATTTATCCACAGGTGGAAAAATCACCGTTCTTCTGTGGGGAAAAAAAAGTAAGAATGGCATGATTATATATGATAATTGGAAAATAGAATTATAATGACCAGACCTTATAATGTTAAATATAAGGGAATTTAGCAACATAAATAGTTGAGTGCTTAGGCAATAGTAGGGTGTTTTTGGAATAATGTTTGTTTAGGCCTCAGAAAGACCTGAATTTGAACCCTTGATTCACCACTCATTCATTCATTCATTCCCTGTGATCTTGTTAACCTCTCTAACCACAGTTTCATTTTTTTTTTTTTTTTTTTTAACAAAAAGTTACCTATTACGTGCCAGGTACTGTTCTATATTCTAGGTGCTTGAATGATGAACCATACAGATAAATTCCTTATGGAGTTTACATTCTAGCTGGGGAGACAGACATGACACATAACAAATTTAATGGCAAGTGGTGGTAAGTGCTATGAAAGAAAAATAAAAATGTAAATGAGAAAGCTGAGAGTGATCAGGGATGTGCTATTTTAGAT